TATTTTAGGCAGCCGAAAATATTTTAGGCAGCCGATATTATTTACGGTTTAGGCAGCCTAAAATATTTTCGGCATTAAGGCATTACGGCATGCCAAAAACAATTTAGACCCACATGTATAAATACAGGTATTACATATAGCAGCAGTATTACAAAAGATTCTATTACACAAAGATTACATGAATAAGTTCTTTAGTTGGAGTAACCTGGAGGCAGTACCAATATCCTTATATCTAACTTGTAGGATATTTGTTTGAAAGAATAATACATATAGTTAAACCACTCAACAGAGAAAAAATAGAAACAGGCAGTAATAGCATATGCAGATGATACAACATGGATCGCTAAAAACAAAGACCAAATGAAAAAAACAATTCATATAGCAGAAGAGTTTTTCAAGCTCAATGATATACAGATCAATGGAAAAAAGTCAAAGCTAATTATTTGCAATACAACAGAAAGGAAAGTGAACCGAAAACTTTTCTTTGGCAATGAGTGAATAATAGAGAAAGAGAGAAACAAGATTACAAGATTTTTAGGTGTATGGCCAAACAATAATCTAGACAAATTCTTAGTTAAGGCCAGAGCGGCTAAATTATAGTATAGATTACCCCTTTTTACCAGCATTATACCAATTTTTGGCCAGAATTATACCAATTTTTGGCCAGAATTATCACAGGAGACCCATATGCATATATATATATAATACTATTATACAAGTCACTCTCATTATAGTGAAGCCCTCAGGCTGTGGAATTTTCTTTACTATATCGAGAGGTTCACTATATTAAAGGTCTCTTGATATAGTGAAGTTAATATATAAAAATATAAATCTTCACTATATCGAGAAAAATAAAAAAAGCTTAATTTTATAATACTTTTATCGTTATACTGCCAATTCATAATTTTTCTGGCACTTATATAAAAATAAATAGATCGCAATTAAACCAAATTTCATCAAGTGAATATTCACCTACTGCCAAGTTTATGTCAAATAGATTTTTTTTCTTAATCGCTTAGTATTTGGTTTTAATTTTTATTATCGATGTCTCAATTAGAGTATATTCATATTCTAATTTAATATCTAACTCTTTATATCCTTTCGCTAGCCAAATTGCCACCAAAATTAAGAATTCTGAAATTTATTAACCAAAAAAAAAAAATTCGAATCTACATATATTCGTTTTATGAATTAATAAAAAAAGACTTCATTAAAATTAGGCCCAAAACAAATTTAAAAAAAAAAATGAAATTAGAAAAAAAATCAATAAGGATAAAATATTATTTCTACATTTGCCCATAATTCTTAAATCAGATAGCCAATTCCAAATTGCTATATAAAGTTAAAGTTTAAACGTTTAATTTTAAAATAATTTATTCAAAAAAGATAGAAATTTTTTGCGTCTACTTACAAGAAAATCTAGTCATATCTTGCAAATAAATTCATAAATCAGCTACCTTTAAAATCAAAAAATAAAGCATTCAATCGGTTTTCAAAAAAAATTTTTTTTTAGAAAAGCAGTAAAAATCTAGTTATAAAATTTTAAATTTCCTAAAGTTAGCTAGCCCACTTCTAGTTACTACATGTGTTAAATCAATAATGAAACATTAATTCAATCGGTTCCTAAAAAAATTTTTTCAAAAAAAAAAAAAAATCGTGTTTGCCCAAAAATAAAAAAAACTAGTTATCTTGCCAAATAAATTCTCTAAAGTTAGTTAGCCCGCTTCAAGTTACTATACTTAAATCATTAAAAAAAAAAAAAAAAAAAAGAATCTAAAAACTTTCAAAAAAAAAAAAAAAATTTAATTTTAATTTGGTCTAAAAATAAACGTATCAAAGGTGACTTGTCGACTTGAAGCAGTATGTTTCAGATTTATGTCTTTTTTTAGTCTTCCTAAATTTCGAATAAGAGATTCATTTACTTGAAAGGCTCCATCCGGTTGCTGCTCGAGAAACAATAAGATCCCATTGATAAACTCTAAAGCTTGCATGAAGGATATTGGTTTACTTGTGACTTCATCTTCTTCTGGTTCAATACATTCTCGATTCTTAACAGCTTCGATTATCTCCTCATCATTAGGCATTTCAGTAGTAATCAGGTTATTATCAGCAATTACATACTCATCTGCACTCATAGGTTGGTCAAGAGGCAATCGCTCGATCAAATACTGAATCTCACTAGTAATATTGGATTCATTATTTTGGTCAAGCTCTTCAAACGGGAACAATTCATTAAGAAAATCATTTGGCAAAATTACAGATAGTTATTGGTGTTACTTTATCCCAAGCAGTAGCGACAAAATCAATTGCGTCTTTAATAGTTATCAATTCAGGAGGATCACCAGATTCCAAAAAAGTATCAAACGCATATATACGATCTTCACAAAATATTTTTTTATAATGTGCCTATGCCGCTAAGTGTTAATAATTTTCTGATAATGCTATAAAAATTTTTAAAACTATACAAAGTTAATTTTTTGGTCTTTATAACTGAGTCAGATAACTTTTTAAAAATTGAAACTAACTTTTTTTAGAAATATGAGCGACAGTAAAAGAAAATCTGTGAATATTTCAAGTCATTACTGCTACAAACCTATCGCACGATAATATTATACGATAAGTTCGCTATAGTGATGACTTGAAATATTTATTACAGATTTTCTCTTACTGTAAAATTTCTTAATTTTTTTAAAAATTAACATATCAGTAGAATTTTAGGGTCACTTTAAATTTTTTTGTTATGAGTACCAAAAAATTAACTTTGTATGGCTTTAACTTACCTTAAAACTCCAAATTATTCCTGCATCACATGGTTGCAGATGTGTCGTCGTATTTGAAAGAAGAAAATGAAGCTTTACATTTGTCAGAACTAAACCTTCCTCAAGTCCATGAGTTGATACGCCATCTAATATAAGAAGAATTGACCGACCAGTAAGCCATATTTGGTTATCAAGGTGCTTAACATAATGATTGAAAATAGATATCTGCATCCAAGCAGTACTATTCCAGTAATAATATGGGGTAAGGTAGATTTATCAACATTTTTGAGGGCTCTAGGGGTTTTGAATTTATGTATGAACAGAGGTAGGAGTTTATGGGTGCCGGTTGCATTACATGTAAGTAAAACTGTAATACAATCTTTAGCCTTTTTCTGCCCTGAAGTTGGACCATTTGCTAATGTTTTATCAGGTTCTATACGCCAATATAATGCTGTCTCATCAGCATTATAAACATCTTCAGGATGGTACTTTTTAATTACTTCTTGTAACTC